GCCCACCGGGACTGGACATGAACAAATGGACACGCCCACCAAGTCTGGACACGCCCACCGGGACTAGACACGCCCACCGAACCTAGACACACCCACTGCGACTGGACGTGAGCAAATGGACACGCCCCTGGACACGCCCACTGGACTGGACACGCCCACTGGGACTGGACATTATTAGCTGGACACGCCCCCCAGACACGCCCACCAGGACTGGACACGCCCACCGAACCCAGACATGCCCACTGTGGCTGGACATGAACAAATGGACACGCCCCCCGGACATGGACACGCCCACCCAGACTGGACACGCCCACTGCAAACTGGACATGAACAAACGGACACGCCCACCGCCACTGGACACGCCCACTGGGACTGGACACGCCCACTGTGACTGGACATGATCAAATGGACACGCCCACTGCAACTGGACATGCCCACTGGGACTGGACACGCCCACTGGGACTGGACACGCCCACCACACATGGACATGACCACCTGGACACGCCCACTACGACCTGATATAATTAACGGGACACGCCCACCTCACCTGGCCCCGCCCACCTCAGCTGGACTACAACGGTGTCGCTGTCAAGTGACCACGCCCCCATCTGGGCCACGCCCACCTCACCTGGCCACACCCACCTTTATGTGACCACACCCACACTGACCACACCCATTTTTCCCTCCTGGCCACGCCCCCTCCTTATCCCGGCCGTGACCCCGCCCACCTGGACTGCGACCCCGCCCACCACCTGACCACGCCCCTTTTAGCAAACCACCCTTGTGGCCACGCCCCTTTCCTCCCCGGCCCCGCCCACCCGGCCCTCCGGACAGGCCCCGCCCCCTCTCATTAATTATTTATTGCCCCTCATTAATGAATTAACCGCGACCTTTGACCCCAATAAAGCCGGAAGTGCCCGAAGGGGCTCCTGGGAGCCGAGTCGGGAATTTTGGGGGAAATTTGGGAATTTCAGGGGATTTTTGGGAGAATTTAGGAGGAATTGTGGGGGGGTTTTCAGAATTTTGGGAAATTTGGGAAGGTCAGGGGAAATTTGGGGGAAATTTGGGGATTTTGGGGGGATTTAGGGGGAAATTTGGGGAAATTTTTGGGAGTTTGGGGGGAAATCTGGCATAAATTGGGGGATTTGGGGGGAAACTTGGGAATTTTGGGGAATTTTTGGGAGAACTTAGGGGGGATTTGGGGATTTCGGGGGGAATTTGGGGTGAAATTTGGGAATTTTGGGGGAAAATTGAGAATTTTGGGGGAAAATTGGGAATTTTGAGGTGATTTGGGGGTAATTTTGGAGGGAAATTTGGGGATTTGGGGGATTTTGGGGGGAAAATTGGGAATTTTGGGCTGGGTTGGGATTTATTGATGATTTATTGATGATTTATTGGGGTTTATTGCGAAATACTGGAATGGAGACGATTTTTGTGGTTTTCTTTTCCCACCAAAACCCCAAATTCCTCCCCACATCCCAAATTTTGTTCCCTAAAATCCCCAAGTTTTCCCCAAAGTCCCCCAAAAATTCCCCAAAATCCGATTTCCCCCCCAAATCCCAAAATTCTCCCCAAAATCTCCCAGATTTCCCCACAAAATCACCCAAAATCCTCAATTGTTCATCCCAAAAATCCCCACATTTCCCCAATTTCCCACCAGATTTATTGATGATTTATCGATGATTTATTGGGGTTTATTGCGAAATATTGGAATGGAGACGATTTTTGTGGTTTTCTTTTCCCACCAAAACCCCAAATTCCTCCCCACATCCCAAATTTTGTTCCCTAAAATCCCCAAGTTTTCCCCAAAGTCCCCCAAAAATTCCCCAAAATCCAATTTCCCCCCCCAAATCCCCAAAATTCCCTCAGAAATCCCAAAATTCTCTCCAAAATCTCCCAGATTTCCCCACAAAATCACCCAAAATCCTCAATTGTTCCCCCCAAAAATCCCCACATTTCCCCGATTTCCCACCAAAAACCCCAAATTTCCCGCCAAATTCTTCCCAAAATTCCCAATTTCCCCGCCAATTCCCCGATTTCCCACCAAAAACCCCAAATTTCCCGCCAAATTCTTCCCAAAATTCCCAATTTCCCCGCCAATTCCCCGATTTCCCACCAAAACCCCCAAATCCCCCCCGAAACCCCAATTTTCCCCCAAAAGCCCCAAATTCCTCACAAAATCCCCCCAAAAATCTCCCATTTCCCCCTAAATTCCCCCAAAATCCGGCAATTTCCTGCCCAAACCCCCCAAATTCCTCCCCAAATCCCTCCAAAATCACCAATTTCCTCCTAAATTCCCCCAAAATCTTGTGATTCCCGCCAAAACCCCCAAATCCCCCCAAAAAACCCCAAATTTTCTGCCAAAACCCCCAAATTCCTCCCAAAATCCCCCCAAAATCATCAATTTCCCAGCAAAATCTCGCGATTTCCCGCCTTTGGGGTGGGGGTTTGGGGGAGAATTTTGAATTTTTGGGGGAAATTCCTGAATTTTTTGGGGGATTTGGGGGGAAATTTTTAAATTTTGGGGGAAATTCTGGAATTTTTGGGAGATTTTGGGGTATTTGGGGTGGGGGTTTGGGGGAGAATTTTGAATTTTTGGGGAATTTTGGGGGGAATTGTTTAAATTTTGGGGGAATTTCAGAAATTTTGGGAAAATTTGGAGCTCTTGAGGTCGGGCTTTGGGGAGAATTCCTGAATTTTTGGGGAAATTTGGGGAAATTTTTAAACTTTGGGGAAAATTTGGGAAAATTTGGGGGGTTTGGGGGAGAATTTTGAATTTTTGGGGAATTTTGGGGGGAATTGTTTAAATTTTGGGGGAATTTCAGAAATTTTGGGAAAATTTGGAGCTCTTGAGGTCGGGCTTTGGGGAGAATTCCTGAATTTTTGGGGAAATTTGGGGAAATTTTTAAACTTTGGGGAAAATTTGGGAAAATTTGGGGGGTTTGGGGCAGAATTTTGAATTTTTGGGGAAATTTGGGTGGAAATTCCTGAATTTTGGGGGATTTTGGGTTTTTGGATATTTTGTTGCCCAGGCCAGGCAATATTTTGAATATTTTGGGAAATTTCTGGGTTTATTTCAGGATATTTTGGGTATTTTTGGGGATAATTTCGGGATAATTTTTGGGATAATTTTGGGTATTTTTTGGGATAATTTTAGGATAAATTTTTGTATTTTTGGGGATAATTTGGGGTGTTTTGGGGGGAGATTTTGGGGTGTTTTTTGGGGATATTTCAGGATAATTTTGGGTATTTTTGGGTTATTTTAGGATAATTTGGGGTACTTTTTGGGGATAATTTCAGGATATTTTTGGGATAATTTTGGGATATTTTTGGGGTAATTTTGGGGATAATTTCAGGATAATTTTGGGGATTTTTTTGGGGTAATTTTGGGGATAATTTTGGGGATATTTTTTGGGTGGTTTTGGGCATAATTTCAGGATATTTTGGGGGTAATTTTGGGGATAATTTCAGGATATTTTTTGGGGTAATTTTGGGATAATTTTGGATGTTTTTTGGGGATAATTTTAAGATAATTTTCTTGTATTTTTGTGGGTAATTTTAGGATATTTTTGGGATAATTTTGGGGATTTTTTTGGGGTAATTTTGGGGAAAATTTCAGGATATTTTTGTGATAATTTTGGGATATTTTTTGGGTAATTTAGGACATAATTTCAGGATATTTTTGGGATAATTTTGGGGATTTTTTTGGGGTAATTTTGGGGACAATTTCAGGATATTTTTGTGATAATTTCAGGATATTTTTGTGATAATTTCAGGATATTTTTGTGATAATTTCAGGATATTTTTGGGATAATTTCAGGATATTTTTAGGATAATTTCGGGATATTTTTGGGGTAATTTTGGGGATAATTTCGGGATAATTTTGGGATAATTTCAGGATATTTTGGGATAATTTTGGGATATTTTTAGGATAATTTTGGGTGTTTCCCCCCCAGGTGAGGCCCCGCCAGGTGAGGCCCCCGTGGCCGTGGCCGCCCCCGCGCCCTTCCCCGAGGGGGGGCTGCAGTACCACCTGCGCAGCGACGGCAACGGGGCACAGGTGAGCACGGCCAGGTACACCTGGGCACACCTGGGGGGGCAGGGAACACACCTGGGCACACACCTGGGCACACCTGGGCACACCTGGGCACACAGCTGGGGGGAGGGAACACACCTGGGGGGAGGGAACACACCTGGGGGGTAATGAACACACCTGGGCACACCTGGGGGGGGCAACGAACACACCTGGGCACATGGGCACACACCTGGGGACACACCTGGGGACACACCTGGGGACACCTGGGGGGTACTTGGGAGGCACCTGGGCACACCTGAGAGCGATGTACCACGTGGTGCAGGTGTGCTCAGGGATAGTCAGGTGTATTTAGGGGGTGCCCAGGTGTGCCCAGGTGCCCCAGGTGACCCTGTTCTGTGCCCAGGTGACGTACCGCGTGGTGCAGGTGTGGTTAGGGATACCCAGGTGCCCCAGGTAACCCTCTCCCTGTGCCCAGGTGACGTACCGCGTGGTGCAGGTGTGCTCAGGTGTAGGTTAGGGGGTTCAGGGTGTGCCCAGGTGCCCCAGCTGACCCTCTCCCCCCCGCCAGGTGACGTGCCGCGTGGTGCAGGTGTGCTCAGGTGTACGTTAGGGACAGCCAGGTGTATGTTAGGAATACCCAGGTGTATTTAGGTGTGCTCAGGTGACCCTCCCCCCCCCTCAGGTGACGTACCGCGTGGTGCAGGTGTGCCCAGGTGTGTGTTAGGGACAGCCAGGTGTGCTCAGGTGTATGTTAGGGGTGCCCAGGTGTATGTTAGGGACAGCCAGGTGTGCCCAGGTGCCCCAGGTGACCCTCTCCCTGTGCCCAGGTGACGTACCGCGTGGTGCAGGGGTGCCCAGGTGTGTGTTAGGGATACCCAGGTGTGCTCAGGTGTAAGGTGTGTGTTAGGGATACCCAGGTGTGCTCAGGTGTGTGTTAGGTGTGCCCAGGTGTGCCCAGGTGACAATGTTTCTTGCCCAGGTGACGTACCGCGTGGTGCAGGTGTGCCCAGGTGTGTGTTAGGGATACCCAGGTGTGCCCAGGTGTAGGTTAGGGACAGCCAGGTGTGCCCAGGTGTGCCCAGGTGTGCCCAGGTGCCCCAGGTGACCCTGTCCCCCCCTGCACCTGGGCACACCTGGGGGCACCTGGGGAGGGTTTGGGCACACCTGGGGGGCACCTGGGCACCCCTGGGGGGTGGGAACCACACCTGGGGGCAGCTGGGGGTACCTGGGAGGGGATACATGGGAAAAACTGGGTGAAATTTGGGTAGAAAATGGGTGGAAAATGGGGATTTTGGGTTACCTGGGCACACCTGGGCGCACCTGGGGGCACCTGGGAAGGGTTTGGGCACACCTGGGGGCACCTGGGGGGTGGGAACCACACCTGGGGGCACCTGGAGGGCACCTGGGGATACTGGGGGGAGGTTTGGGGACACCTGGGCACACCTGGGGGAGGTTTGGGCACACCTGGAGGGCACCTGGGCACACCTGAGGGGATCCTGGGGATACCTGGGGGGGAGCTGGGCACACCTGGGGGCACTTGGAGATACCTGGGCACACCTGGGGGGATCCTGGAGATACCTGGGGGAGGTTTGGGGGCACCTGGGCACACCTGGGGGTGCTGGGGACGGCACACCTGGGGGGATCCTGGAGATACCTGGGGGAGGTTTGGGGGCACCTGGGCACACCTGGGGGTGCTTGGGGACGCACCTGTGCCCACCTGTGCCCGCAGGAAGCTGGAGGGGCCGCGGGTGCCGCGGGACGAGCGACGGCGAGCGCAGCACAACGAGCCTGGGCGGCACACCTGGGCACACCTGGGCACACCTAGGGGCACCTGGGGGCACCTGGGGGGCTCCAAACTCACCTGGGCGCACCTGGGGGGCTCCAAACTCACCTGGCCTGGGTCAAAATCCCAACTTTTTCCCCATTTTTCATCCATTTTTTTCCCAATTTTCTCCAATTTTTTGTGGCTTTTCCCATTTTTTCTCCATTTTTTTCTCAATTTCCCGAATTTTTCCCATTTTTTTCCCCGGTTAATTTCCCCCCCGTTTTTCCCATTTCTCAGCCATTTTTCCCCAATTTCTCCCCCATTTTTCCCCGTTTTCCTCCCGTTTTTCCCCAATTTCTCTCTGTTTTTTCCCCGTTTTTCCCCCGTTTTTCCCTATTTTTTCCCCTTTTTCTCCATTTTTCCCCCTTTTTCCCCAATTTCTCCCCGTTTTTCCCTATTTTTCCCGATTTTCCCCCCATTTTTCCCCAATTTCTCCCCATTTTTCCCCATTTTTCCCGATTTCCCCCCGTTTTTCCCCATTTTTTCCCATTTTTCCGCACTTTTCCCCATTTTTCCCCAATTTCTCCCCGTTTTTCCCCATTTTTCATGATTTTCCCCCTATTTTTCCCCATTTTTCCCCCATTTTTCCCCAATTCCTCCTAATTTTTCCCTATTTTCTCGCCATTTTTTCCCCAATTTCTCCATTTTTTCTCCCGTTTTTTCCCGATTTCTGGGTTTTTTGCCCCAACCCGGCAGTGGAGCGGCGGCGCCGGGACAAGATCAACAACTGGATCGTGCAGCTCTCCAAGATCATCCCCGACTGCGGCGCCGACGGCGGCAAATCCGGCGCGGTGAGCGCGGCTTTGGGGCCAAAAACCGCGATTTCGGGAAAGCGGGGGAAATTGGGGGAAAAATTGGGGTTTTGGGGAAATTTGGGGATTTTTGGGGGGATTTGGAGGAGAAATTTGGGGATTTTGGGGGGGAAATTTGGGGATTTGGGGGAAAACTGGGGATTTTGCGGGGGAAATTTGGGGATTTTGGCGGGAAATTTGGGGATTTTTGGGGAAATGTTGTGATTTTGGGTGAAATTTGGGGTATTTTGGGGGGATATTTGGGGTTTTGGGGGGAAAAATTGGGATTTGGGGGGAAATTTGGGGATTTTGGGGGGAAATTTGGGGATTTTTGGGGAAATGTTGTGATTTTGGGTGAAATTTGGGGTATTTTGGGGGGATATTTGGGGTTTTGGGGGGAAAAATTGGGATTTGGGGGGAAATTTGGGGATTTTGGGGGGATTTGGGGATTTTGGGGAAAATGTGGGGGGATTTGGGGAGAAAATTGGGTATTTTTGAGGAAAATTTGGGGATTTGGGGGGAAATTTTGTGATTTTGGGGAGATTTGGGGGGAAATTTGGGGATTTTGGGGAAAAATTGGTTGATTGGGGGAACTTTGGGGATTTTGGGGTTAAAATGTGGGGATTTTGGGGGAAAATTTGGGGATTTTTTGGGGGAAACTTGGGGATTTTCAGGATCCCAGGTTAATTTTAGGCGGGTTTAAGGTAATTTTGGGGGGTCCTGGGTTAATTTTAGGTGGATTTAGGGTCATTTTGGGTGGTCCCAGGTTAATTTTGGGTGGATTTAGGGCAGTTTTGGGGGGTCCCAGGCAGATTTTGGGGTTCCCAGGTGAATTTTGGGGGGTCGCGGTTAATTTGGGGAGGGGTTTAGGGTAATTTTGGGTGGATTTAGGGTAATTTTAAGTGGATTTAGGGCAATTTTGGGTGGGTTTGGGTTAATTTTAAGTGGATTTAGGGCAATTTTGGGTGGATTTAGGGTAATTTTGGGGGGTCCCAGGCCGATTTTGGGAGCCCCAGGCAGATTTTGGGGTCCCCAGGTGAATTTCTGGGGGGTCCCGGTTAATTTGGGGAGGGGTTTAGGGTCATTTTGGGGGGTCCCGGGTTAATTTTAAATGGATTTAGGGTAATTTTGGGGTCCCCAGGTGAATTTTGGGGGGTCGCGGTTAATTTGGGGAGGGGTTTAGGGTAATTTTGGGTGGATTTAGGGCAATTTTAAGTGGATTTAGGGCAATTTTGGGTGGTCCCAGGTTAATTTTAAGTGGATTTAGGGTGATTTTGGGGTCCCCAGGTGAATTTCTGGGGGGTCGCGGTTAATTTGGGGAGGGGTCTCGCAGAGCAAGGGCGGGATCCTGTCCAAGGCCTGCGATTACGTGCGGGAGCTGCGCCAGAGCAACCAGCGCCTGCAGGAAACCTTCAAAGAGGCCGAGCGCCTGCAGATGGACAACGACCTATTGCGACAGCAGGTGCGCGCGCCCTGTCGCGACACGCCCCGCCCCAAAAAAAACCCGAAATCGCCCCAAAAAACCCCGAAATCGCCCCAAAAATCGCCGCGAAAATCGGCCCGAAATCGCGGCGGGAACGGGAGGAGCGGCATGAATGGGGAGGCCACGCCCACTGTGGGCGGGGCTTTGTCCTTATTTGGGTGCCGCGTTCCCACGGGGGTTCATTGAGAAAAATGGGGAGGGGATTTGGGGGAAATTTGGGGATTTTGGGGGAGAATTGGGAAATTTGGGGCGGGAATTTGGGGGTTTTTGGGGGAAATTGGGATTTTGAAATGGGAATTTCGGGTTTAAAAATGGGAATTTTGGGTGAAAATCGCGGGAATTTTGGGGCTAAACTCAGGGAAATTTGGGGGAAAAAAGTTAATTTGGGGAGGGGTCTCGCAGAGCAAGGGCGGGATCCTGTCCAAGGCCTGCGATTACGTGCGGGAGCTGCGCCAGAGCAACCAGCGCCTGCAGGAAACCTTCAAAGAGGCCGAGCGCCTGCAGATGGACAACGACCTATTGCGACAGCAGGTGCGCCCGCCCTGTCGCGACACGCCCCGCCCCAAAAAAAACCCGAAATCGCCCCAAAAAACCCCGAAATCGCCCCAAAAATCGCCGCGAAAATCGGCCCGAAATCGCGGCGGGAACGGGAGGAGCGGCATGAATGGGGAGGCCACGCCCACTGTGGGCGGGGCTTTGTCCTTATTTGGGTGCCGCGTTCCCACGGGGGTTCATTGAGAAAAATGGGGAGGGGATTTGGAGGGAAATTTGGGGATTTTGGGGGAGAATTGGGAAATTTGGGGCGGGAATTTGGGGGTTTTTGGGGGAAATTGGGATTTTGAGGGAAATTTGGGGATTTTGAGGGAAATTTTGGGGGGAAATTTGGGGATTTTGGGGGAATTTTAGGGATTTTGAGGGGAGAAATTTGGGCGGAATTTGAGGGATTTTTGGGGGGAATTTGGGGAATTTTAGGGGAATTTGGGATTTTGGGTGGAGAAATTTGGGGGGAAATTGGAATTTGGGGAGAAATCGGGGGGATTTGGGGTGAAAATAATGGGAATTTCGGGTTTAAAAATGGGAAATTTGGGTGAAAATCGTGGGGGAAAGGGGGTCTAAAAATGGGAATTTGGGGTGAAAATCGCAGGAATTTCGGGGCTAAACTCAGGAAAATTTGGGGGGAAAAAGGGGAATTTTGGGAAATTATGGGCGAAAATGGGGAAAATCAGGGGAAAATGGGGAAATTGGAGGAATTTTGGGTGAAAATAGTGGGAAAAGAGGGCTAAAAATGGGAATTTTGGGTGAAAATTGGGGGGGGAAATGGGGCTAAAAGTGGGGAAATTTTGGGGGGAAAAAAGGGAATTTTGGGAATTATGGGTGAACACGGGAAAAATTGGAGGAATTTTGGGTGAAAATCATGGGAAAATGGAGGGGAAAATGGGGCTAGAAATGGGAATTTTGGGTTGAAAATCGCGGGAATTTTAGGTCTACACCCAGGAAAATTTGGGGAAAAAAAGGGAATTTTGGGGAATTTTGGCTGAACACGGGAAAAATTGGAGAAAGTTGTGGGAAAAGTGGGAATTTGGGGTGAAAATCGTGGGGAAAACAGGATCTAAAAATGGGAATTTCGGGGGAAAATTGTGGGAATTTCGGGGCTAAAAATGGGAAATTTTGGGTGGAAATCATGGGAATTTCGGGTTTAAAACTGAGAAATTTGGAGTGAAAATTGAGGGGAAAATGGGGTTAAAAATGGGAATTTTGGGTGAAAATCGCGGGAATTTCGGGGCTAAAAATGGGAAATTTGGGGTGAAAATCACGGGAATTTTGGGGCTAAAAATGCGAATTTTGGGGTGAAAATCGTGGGAATTTCAGGGGAAAATCATGGGAATTTCGGGTTTAAAAATGGGAAATTTGACGTGAAAATCGTGGGGAAAAAAGGGGCTAAAAATGGGAATTTTGGGTGAAAATCGTGGGAATTTGTGGTCTAAACCCCGGAAAATTTGGGGGAAAAAAGGGGAATTTTGGGAATTATGGGTGAACACGGGAAAAATTGGAGGAATTTTGGGTGAAAATCATGGGAAAATTGAGGGGGAAAAAGGGCTAAAAATGGGAATTTGGGGTGAAAATGGTGGGGAAAAAAGGGCTAAAAATGGGAATTTTGGGGGAAAATGGTGGGAATTTCGGGGCTAAAAATGGGAAATTTGGGTGAAAATCATGGGAAAATCATGGGGGGGGAAAGGGGCTAAAAATGCGAATTTTGGGGTGAAGATCATGGGAATTTTGGGACTAAAAATGTGAATTTTGGGATGAAAATCGTGGGAATTTAGGGTGTAAACCCAGGAAAATTTGGGGGAAAAAAGGGAAATTTGAGGAATTTTGGGTGAACATGGGAAAAATTGGAGGAAAATGGGAAAATGGAAGGAATTTTGGGTGAAAATCGTGGGAGAATTGAGGGGGGAAATGGGGCTAAAAATGGGAAATTTGGGGTGAAAATCGTGGGAATTTCGGGGGAAAATCATGGGAATTTCGGGTTTAAAAATGGGAAATTGGACGTGAAAATCGTGGGGGAAAAAAGGGGCTAAAAATGGGAATTTTGGGTGAAAATCGTGGGAATTTGTGGTCTAAACCCCGGAAAATTTGGGGGAAAAAAGGGGAATTTTGGGAATTATGGGTGAACACGGGAAAAATTGGAGGAATTTTGGGTGAAAATCATGGGAAAATGGAGGGGAAAAGGGCTAAAAATGGGGAAATTGTGGGGAAAAAAATCATGAGAATTTCAGGGCTAAAAATGGGAATTTGGGGTGAAAATGGTGGGGAAAAAAGGGCTAAAAATGGGAATTTTGGGGGAAAATGGTGGGAATTTCGGGGCTAAAAATGGGAAATTTGGGTGAAAATCATGGGAAAATCATGGGGGGGGAAAGGGGCTAAAAATGCGAATTTTGGGGTGAAGATCATGGGAATTTTGGGACTAAAAATGTGAATTTTGGGATGAAAATCGTGGGAATTTAGGGTGTAAACCCAGGAAAATTTGGGGGAAAAAAGGGAAATTTGAGGAATTTTGGGTGAACATGGGAAAAATTGGAGGAAAATGGGAAAATGGAAGGAATTTTGGGTGAAAATCGTGGGAGAATTGAGGGGGGAAATGGGGCTAAAAATGGGAAATTTGGGGTGAAAATCGTGGGAATTTCGGGGGAAAATCATGGGAATTTCGGGTTTAAAAATGGGAATTTTGGGTGAAAATCGCGGGAATTTTGGGGCTAAACTCAGGGAAATTTGGGGGAAAAAAGGGGAATTTTGGGAATTATGGGTGAACACGGGAAAAATTGGAGGAATTTTGGGTGAAAATCATGGGAAAATGGAGGGGAAAAGGGCTAAAAATGGGGAAATTGTGGGGAAAAAAATCATGAGAATTTCAGGGCTAAAAATGGGAATTTGGGGTGAAAATGGTGGGGAAAAAAGGGCTAAAAATGGGAATTTTGGGGGAAAATGGTGGGAATTTCGGGGCTAAAAATGGGAAATTTGGGTGAAAATCATGGGAAAATCATGGGGGGGGAAAGGGGCTAAAAATGCGAATTTTGGGGTGAAGATCATGGGAATTTTGGGACTAAAAATGTGAATTTTGGGATGAAAATCGTGGGAATTTAGGGTGTAAACCCAGGAAAATTTGGGGGAAAAAAGGGAAATTTGAGGAATTTTGGGTGAACATGGGAAAAATTGGAGGAAAATGGGAAAATGGAAGGAATTTTGGGTGAAAATCGTGGGAGAATTGAGGGGGGAAATGGGGCTAAAAATGGGAAATTTGGGGTGAAAATCGTGGGAATTTCGGGGGAAAATCATGGGAATTTCGGGTTTAAAAATGGGAATTTTGGGTGAAAATCGCGGGAATTTTGGGGCTAAACTCAGGGAAATTTGGGGGAAAAAAGGGGAATTTTGGGAATTATGGGTGAACACGGGAAAAATTGGAGGAATTTTGGGTGAAAATCATGGGAAAATGGAGGGGAAAAGGGCTAAAAATGGGGAAATTGTGGGGAAAAAAATCATGAGAATTTCAGGGCTAAAAATGGGAATTTGGGGTGAAAATGGTGGGGAAAAAAGGGCTAAAAATGGGAATTTTGGGGGAAAATGGTGGGAATTTCGGGGCTAAAAATGGGAAATTTGGGTGAAAATCATGGGAAAATCATGGGGGGGGAAAGGGGCTAAAAATGCGAATTTTGGGGTGAAGATCATGGGAATTTTGGGACTAAAAATGTGAATTTTGGGATGAAAATCGTGGGAATTTAGGGTGTAAACCCAGGAAAATTTGGGGGAAAAAAGGGAAATTTGAGGAATTTTGGGTGAACATGGGAAAAATTGGAGGAAAATGGGAAAATGGAAGGAATTTTGGGTGAAAATCGTGGGAGAATTGAGGGGGGAAATGGGGCTAAAAATGGGAAATTTGGGGTGAAAATCGTGGGAATTTCGGGGGAAAATCATGGGAATTTCGGGTTTAAAAATGGGAATTTTGGGTGAAAATCGCGGGAATTTTGGGGCTAAACTCAGGGAAATTTGGGGGAAAAAAGGGGAATTTTGGGAATTATGGGTGAACACGGGAAAAATTGGAGGAATTTTGGGTGAAAATCATGGGAAAATGGAGGGGAAAAGGGCTAAAAATGGGGAAATTGTGGGGAAAAAAATCATGAGAATTTCAGGGCTAAAAATGGGAATTTGGGGTGAAAATGGTGGGGAAAAAAGGGCTAAAAATGGGAATTTTGGGGGAAAATGGTGGGAATTTCGGGGCTAAAAATGGGAAATTTGGGTGAAAATCATGGGAAAATCATGGGGGGGGAAAGGGGCTAAAAATGCGAATTTTGGGGTGAAGATCATGGGAATTTTGGGACTAAAAATGTGAATTTTGGGATGAAAATCGTGGGAATTTAGGGTGTAAACCCAGGAAAATTTGGGGGAAAAAAGGGAAATTTGAGGAATTTTGGGTGAACATGGGAAAAATTGGAGGAAAATGGGAAAATGGAAGGAATTTTGGGTGAAAATCGTGGGAGAATTGAGGGGGGAAATGGGGCTAAAAATGGGAAATTTGGGGTGAAAATCGTGGGAATTTCGGGGGAAAATCATGGGAATTTCGGGTTTAAAAATGGGAATTTTGGGTGAAAATCGCGGGAATTTTGGGGCTAAACTCAGGGAAATTTGGGGGAAAAAAGGGGAATTTTGGGAATTATGGGTGAACACGGGAAAAATTGGAGGAATTTTGGGTGAAAATCATGGGAAAATGGAGGGGAAAAGGATGGGGGAAACAGGGAAAAATGGGGGAAAATGGGGAAAATGGGGGAGGAAATGGGAAATTTGGGTGAAAATCATGGGAAAATCATGGGGGGGGAAAGGGGCTAAAAATGCGAATTTTGGGGTGAAGATCATGGGAATTTTGGGACTAAAAATGTGAATTTTGGGATGAAAATCGTGGGAATTTAGGGTGTAAACCCAGGAAAATTTGGGGGAAAAAAGGGAAATTTGAGGAATTTTGGGTGAACATGGGAAAAATTGGAGGAAAATGGGAAAATGGAAGGAATTTTGGGTGAAAATCGTGGGAGAATTGAGGGGGGAAATGGGGCTAAAAATGGGAAATTTGGGGTGAAAATCGTGGGAATTTCGGGGGAAAATCATGGGAATTTCGGGTTTAAAAATGGGAAATTGGACGTGAAAATCGTGGGGGAAAAAAGGGGCTAAAAATGGGAAATTTGGGGTGAAAATCACGGGAATTTTGGGGCTAAAAATGCGAATTTTGGGGTGAAAATCGTGGGAATTTCAGGGGAAAATCATGGGAATTTCGGGTTTAAAAATGGGAAATTTGGGGTGAAAATCGCGGGAATTTCGGGGCTAAAAATGGGAAATTTTGGGTGGAAATCATGGGAATTTCGGGTTTAAAACTGAGAAATTTGGAGTGAAAATTGAGGGGAAAATGGGGTTAAAAATGGGAATTTTGGGCAAAAATCGTGGGAATTTTGGGGCTAAACCCTGGGAAATTTGGGGGAAAAAAGGGGAATTTTGGGAATTATGGGTGAACACGGGAAAAATTGGAGGAATTTTGGGTGAAAATCATGGGAAAATGGAGGGAAAAATGGGGTTTAAAGTGGGAATTTTGGGCGAAAATGGCGGGAATTTCGGGTCCAAACCCCGGGAAATTTGGGGGGATTTCGGTGAATTTTGGGGCTTTGGCTCCGGGGCTCCCCCCGCCCCCAATTTTGGGGTTTTTTGGGGTGTTTTGGGCAGGTGGAGGAGCTGAAGAGCGAGAACGCCGTGCTGCGGGCGCAGCTGCAGCAGCGCGGCCTGGACGGGACCCCCGAGGCCGCCCCGCCCTGACCCCTCCCTCCCCCCGCCCCCAATTTTGGGGTTTTTTGGGGTGTTTTGGGCAGGTGGAGGAGCTGAAGAGCGAGAACGCCGTGCTGCGGGCGCAGCTGCAGCAGCGCGGCCTG